CTTGCTCGGAGGCAGACTGCATTCATCGCTCTCGTCTGCGCAGTCTTCGCCGTTGCTGCACGCTTTGTGAACGACCCGCGGCTTTCGAGTGCGGATAACCTTGATGACGCTGGGATGGGGATGGTATACTACGAGCGGTAGGTCTTATTGTTCTGACTCCTGTTCACGGGGCTGACATTGGTCACACAGGGCATTAATTCTTCACTACATCAGTCATGCGTCCACTCAGCTCGAGCACGTTCAGTGCTTCATTCTTATGTCTTCATTCCTATGTTCCGTGAATTGCCTACCACAGGCCTGGCTTCTGGTTGGGCAGGCTGTACGTTCCGCTCAAGACCTTGGTCTCCATGTACGTTCCGTCAGGCTTTCCTGGCGAAGGCACGTGTGCTAATTGTCCACATAGCGATCTCCTCGACGACTATTCATCTCCCCGATCGAGAAAGAGACAAGACGTAAAGTATGGTGGGGTGTGTATACCCTCGACCGCATGCTTGCTCTTGCTCTTGGACGCCCTCTTGGCGTCGAAGACGTGGACTGTGACGTCGAGCTCCCCGTCGACGTGGACGACGAACTGTTGCCCGATTATTTCGCGGGCGCGACGGTACCACGGGAGCCTCCACAACTCATGAAGGGCTTCATCGACCTTACGATACTCTACCGCATTGCTGGGAGGGTCCTCCGTCAGGTCTATGCCCTTGATAAGTGCAGAGACAATCTGGAGCCCGAGAAACGTGCCGAGCTGCAGCGCGCGGTCGAATCCCTCGATAGGGAGCTTACGAAGTGGTGCGATGACTTACCCGAGGCCTTCAAGTCTCGACCCATGACCGACAAGCAAGTCTCGATGGGAGCTGTTCTATGCAGTCATTACTACTCGATCCTCGTGACCCTCCATCGGAATTTCATGCCCGTCAAGTACGATACGCCCCTCTATCCGCGATCAACCGCAAAGGCAGTATCCACAGCTCGAGCATGCATCCGCCTGGCCCCTGCCATCCGAGGTGTTGTTCCTCCCAGCCACCATCTCGCCTTCTTCATCCAGAACCTGTTTAGCTCTGCGGTCATCATCCTGCTCTATGCTATGCACACTCCGGAGCCCACCGCCTCGCAGGCGGCAATGGACGAGGCCACGAGCTGCCTTCCCATGCTAGAGCAGTGGGAATCGCAGTGGCCTGGAGCACGGAAGTGCAAGGAGCTTCTCGAGGAGATCACCGCCACGGCTCGTGAGGCGATTCGTACGAACGCGAACAACCGTGCGAATGGCGCAATGCGTTCGCCGACAGGCTCGTCCTCGTCCTCTGGTGTTCCAGAAGGGCGCATGTCTGCCGCGATCCCCATGCCTATGTCGGAGCGGCTCATCAAGGGGAAGCCCCGGCGGAACCGATCGAGGGATCCGCGCTTGTCCACTCATCAGGCAATACCAGGTGTACAGTTCCGTTCAGATTGTGAGCCTATTCGGTGAATTGCGCCCGTCTATCTGCTTACGTCCTCTCTAGCGCAAAGGGCTCGGTCTACATCTCGGAAGCGGCCTCATGACGACGATCAGTTCCAGGACGGGAGTCAAGGCTATGGACTGCTCTCCAGCTCGTACCCCGGGCGTTCCACACTGAGCTCCACCAGTTCCCCCGCGTCAGTCAACAGCCAACCCTCGCCGTCAGGTCAAGCGCTGGAGTTCGCGGAGGCTAGCCCTCGCATGATGCCCTCATCTACGTTCAACCCGATAAACATACCACTTCCGCAGTCTCCTACCTCGTCGATACCGTCCTCTCAGCGTTTTGATTACGATTTTGGTCTGTCGCAGAGTCCTCCCGACCGCTGGAGCCTGCCGGAGGCTGGGACGAATGGCTTGAAGCTGTTCCCGACCGGGTCACAGCAGTCGCAGTCTCAGCAACCGCAGAGCCCTTCGCAGCAGCAACAACAGCCATACTCCCCCATATCGTTCAACCCTCCACAGACGTCCGGGCTCGACACGTCGTACCTTGGTTATGACGGGCTGAATGGTGTCGACCCGACGGTCTTCGGGATGCCGGGCTCATCGCCACCATCGACGAGCGGCTTTGCCGCGCCTGGACTGCCTTTCCGCGGCCTTGACTTCATTCGCAATTACAACTCCGCGGGATTCTCTGGAGTGGGCAGTGACCAGGCATGGCACTCGTTCGATCCTGGTGCTTTTGGCTACGACCCAGAGATCCCCTTCACGCTTGGCGAGCCGGCCTTGGACGAACAGTGGCAGAACCCCGTACCATAATACACGCTATGATCTATATTCATGTCACCAGTCTTGCCTGTGGAGATGTAATGACCTGACGATATTGTACTAATGCGCCTGCGATAGACATTCTAGCTATGCGACTTTACGCCATTTGTATTAACCGTGTACTTGTATCCGTAGTGTCCGTTGTCGAGCTACCTTACCTGCTTGGCTGTAGTTGACATTCCAATGTAATCTTGTCGTTATGTTTCCCTCTGTTTCAACCCGGATGTTTCAAATGCGCTGTCTTACAGGTTCAGTGAGTGACAATGCGTTCCGTCGCGCGCTGTAGTTGAGTAATTGAGCGACTACTACTGCCATATCATGAATGTGATTGTTGCACTCGGACAAACCGAGGCATAAATACCGCCGGGAGGCCATGCGGATCGGGAACAAGAGGTCAACTGATCGACTCTCCCGTACACGGCGACTGCATATGTAGCACATCCCCGAAAGATGCAGAGCACATCTCTTCGCGTCAACCTTCGCCATGGCGTCCCACCCTGCCGCAGAGTTCATCTCGCCGTCAGCATGGGCCATGGTAAGCACTCGGAGCACCCATGGTCTCATGTGAACTGACGCGGGGTAGGTCGAGGACAAGTTCTCGCCCTATGCGAAGGAAACTCTCGCGAAGCTCATCGCCTTCGTTCATGTAAAGCGCTCCCTTCTTTGTCGCTCAATGTCGCTCAAGGAATTGGGGTGATAGGACGAAGTTCTGCCTGCGCAGAAAGTTGCCCACGCGCAGTTGCCTGCTGATCCGGAGAAGAGGTGGAAGACCGTGATACCTGTCGTCGCAGAACTCAAGGGCAAGGCGCGTAACCTGGGCCTGTGGAATCTCTTCCTGAGCAAGACGCACTACCCTGAGTATGGGGTACCCCTCACGAATCTCGAGGTGCGTGAAAGAGGGTTGCCGAGAGAAGGCAGCTGACAATGTCCCAGTATGCCCTCATGGCGGAGATCCTGGGGCGTGGCGGACAGATGGCCTCGGAGGCCGTGAACTGCTCAGCCCCTGACACGGGAAATATGGGTAAGCATTCCGCGTCTCCCTGTACTATGACTGAACGACCCTTACAGAGGTCCTGGCACGATACGGGTCACCTGAGCAACATAAGAAGTGGCTGGTTCCATTGCTGAATGGCGAGACCCGTTCCGCGTTCTCGATGACCGAGCGGTTCGGTGTGTACGACTGCATGCAGAGTCTCCATGGTCACTGACAATGTTCAGTCGCTTCGTCGGATGCGACCAATATTCGCACAAGCATTCGTCGAGAGGGCAACGAGATTGTCGTGAATGGGCACAAGTGGTAAGCACCTCTCAGACTGATCACGTATACATATGTGCCCACCTCATTCATCGCGAATCACAGGTACATCAGCGGCGCTGGAGATCCTCGCTGCGCCCTGCATCTTGTCCTTGGCAAGAGCGACCCCGATAACTCTGACAAGTATCGCCAGCAGAGTATAGTCATTGTACCGGCCAATGCACCCGGTGTTAAGGTCGTCCGTCCTATGGGTGTCTTCGGTTATGATGATGCGCCCGAGGGGCATTGCGAGATCATCTACGAGAACGTCCGCGTGCCCGTCAGCAACCTTGTATTGGGTTGGGGAAAGGGGTTCGAGGTAAGTACGAGGTTGCTTTGGCGTTCACCAGTTAACATCCGGCTCTGCAGATCATCCAGGGACGTCTGGGGTGAGTGCGTCACGGCGCTGCAATCACATCATCACCTACCTCCGCCTTCAGGCCGGGACGTATCCACCACTGCATGCGTTCCATTGGATGCGCTTCCTATGCGCTGGACCTCATGATCCAACGCGTCACTGATCCCGCCAAGAAGACGTTTGGCAAGTACCTCTATGAGCATGGTATGGTTCCGTATATTTCTAGTCCACCGGGTGTATTGAGGTTCGATAGGCACCGTCGTCTCGGAGATCGCTCACTGCCGTGCGGAAATCGAGTCAGCCAGGCTTCTTGTGCTCAGCGCTGCGCTTCAGGCAAGTCTACTTGCCAGCCCTCAGTATTCGTGACTTGATCACCTGCTCAGATCGACAAGGCCAAGGCCAAAGGTGCCCTCAAGGAGATTGGTATTGCAAAAGTGCGTTGATTCCGTCTGCATAAGAATGCTAAACATCCCAACGCCGTCGTAGTTTGTGGTGCCCTCAATGGCTTTAAAAGTCGTGGATACTGCCATGCAAGCTTACGGTGCCGAAGGCATCAGCCAGGACACGCCGCTCGCCCAGATGTGGGCGCAACTAAGGACGCTGCGTATTGCCGACGTACGCTTGATCATTTTCCTCTGTCATTTTCCTACTGACTGGGTTGTCTCTGCAGGGTCCCGATGCTGTACGCCTCGCCTTAGCTTTTGGTTGTTGGCTTGAGTGACTTAACTATTCTTCCGTCATCTAGGTTCACATCCAACAGATCGGACAACGGGAATTAAAGCGTGCACCTGCGCTCGCCAGGCGCACCGCAGAAATGAAGGAAAGGGAGAAGGCTCTCCTTGCACAATACGGCGTAAAGGCATCACTGTAATCATTCGCGACATATCTTTGAACACATGAGATCCGAATCCATGCATACTATCGGTCTGCGGGTGTACTGTATCCCCAGACCATGAATACATTGGCATTTCGCAATCATGTCTTCAGGCTTTTTACATAAACGTACAGTTGCATAAATCTTGTCCTTGTCATGGAGAAGAAATGAGTCCGAAGAGATAGCTTGGTCAAGAAACAAGAAAACAGCAAAATAAGAAGGGCTTGGCCGGGAATTGAACCCGGGACCTCCTCCAGATATGTTTGATCGGACTAACCAACCCTAAGAAGGAATCATACCTCTAAACCACCAAGCCATAGTTAATCAATCATTAAAGGCCTACCTGACTGCATGGTTTTGTGTTCTTTCCACGCTACGACACTCGCTTTCCCGCACTGGATCGTGCTCTCATTTCTCAAGTCCTTCCTCTCCAAAATGCGGAAAGCAAGTAGCGTGCTTGCGACGTCCCTTCGCCGCGCATATCAATCAAAAAGATCCGTTTCAAACTCATCTTCAGCTGGCAAACGACCTACAGCTCCCGTGCCCAGGGAACGCCTGCGCGCACTCGTGGAACTCTACCATGAGGCGGATCTCTTCGTCACCCCCAGCAACCTCTCCTCCACGATAGACCACGAGTTCATCCATAAACACTCTGAGGGCATTGGCATCGGTCGCGGCGACGAAGACGGTTATCGCGACCTTCAGGCGCAGTACCGGAAGATGAAGGACTTACCAAAGTATGGCGATTCGCGGGTGGCGCAGCACCACGTAGACGAGGACAAACGAGGCTCATGGAGCGACAGCAGGCCTGAGCGAGAGACGAGGGTTCTGCGGGCACTGTTCGGTCTTGATGTTGGCAGGAGGCCGGGGCTGGAGGTGCTGGAGGAGGAGAGAGATCGGGTGATGACACAGATCATCGAACCGGACTCTCATGTCTTCAAGAAGTCATAGACGGTACGTATACATTTCAAACCTGTTTCTGGGTTGACATCTGCAGCTCTCGATTTCCAGGTATTGTGCACCGCCCGGCGTTCAGCCATCCCCTGTCGCCACCAACCCTGTTCCACAGACTTCAGCTACTACGCACAAGCCCATGATAGCAGGGTCTCGCTCGAAACATGCTGAGGGCCGGCCAATAGAGTTTTTTTTCTTACATTACTCTCCCCATAGCTAGCCAACGCATCCCAACTTTACAATGGTGGTATCGTTGATCTCTCCGTGCGGTTGCCAAGTGGTTCTGTGAACTCGTAGCGAAGTTGTGGGTGCTCAAGTAATCTGGAGGAGTGTAGAGAGGTCTTCGTATGGTACGCAGGTGCAACAGAAAGCAAGTGGACGTCTGACTACAACCTTGCCTTCGACGCCGCATCGTCTGAGAGGACATTTGCCTGTAACACAGGCCTCTCGCTTGCCTCCAGTGCGTCCCGATACAGATCGCGCTGCAAGAATGACGGATTATTGTTGTCGGCTCATGGCGACACTCAAAAGTACCGCTCACCTTGATGACGCCCCATGCTCCTTGAACGGCCATTGCACTCACGGACTCTCCTACTTGGCGAGCCTTGGTAATAACCGCCTCTGTGTCACCCTTGACAAGGTGGTCTACCAATCCAGCTTCGAGCGCTTCCTGCGGAGTGAAACGGTGGCCTTCCAAAGCGATCTTCCGTTGCACTCTGCCATCCAAGACCTTCGCGTGGAGCACTCCTGCAAAGGACAACGGCCACCCTGCACCGAAGTGCACCTGCCGCGGTATGAGGCCAACCGCTGACAAGTATGCCTGCAGATTGACGCACCTCGTTCATGCACATCCAAGCGTTCCGACTGCTACCGTCAGTCATGACGCGGTAGTCGCAGCAAAGTGCGAGGATGAATGCAGCGGCGAAACAATGGCCATTGATAGCGGCCACGGTAGGAACTGTATGTTATTCTGAGCACACGATATAGGCGCATGGATAGAAGGCTTCACTTACTCGGGAACGTGAGCAGTCTCCGAATGGCAGGGTTGAACGTCACTGCCCACGCCTTGTCAGAAGTAGGTGAAGATCACAGCTGCGACAAAGCCTCACGGGGGAAGAAGTTCATATGGAAGTTAGGGTCCTTGACCAAGTTATCGTAGTCCAGTCCTGTGGGCGATATTGTGCTCTTAGAATTCATGGTCATCCGAGGAGCTGCAAGGTCGCTCGCCATTACTAAAGAATTTGTTCTGTGTGCGCTTCCCGACGATGACTAGTGTGCCCTTCCCACCGTCCTTGTCCTTCGCTGCTCTCGCTGCGCGCCAGTTCTCTCGCCAGTGCCGCTCGACGGCGTCCAACGCGGGCATGATGGCGTTCTTCAAGAACACCTCCGTGAAACGGCAGTCATCGCCATTGTGCATCTCAATGAGCCATGTTGTTGCAGAAGCTGTGTATTCATTGCCACTGGTGAGGTTACGCAATGGATATGGTAGGAAGTCATACGAACGATGTGTGACCGTCACCAATGGCCGCTCTGGAGGAAATCCCAATGAATATGACATCCGGGCACTGAATGGAGAGATGTTGGATGAAATGCGAGAGGGGAAAGGCTAACTTGCACGCGAGAGACCGCCGCCATGTCAACATTGCATATAGCCCCGCCGCCTCCGAGTCGGGCAAGTATGGGCAGGACCCCGATTGAGAACATATTCACATGATTGGGCCCCTCAGGAACTACATGTCCACGCGCAGCGGTATGTATGTAGTGTGTACCGTCCTATTGGCTGCCGGGACGTGCGGGAACGACCTCATGATCACACAACACGGACCAGTGGTTCAAATCGTACAGCGCGTTATCCGTTACTGCTGCTGGGTTATTATCCCTACGACCCGCGAACCCACGACGAGAGCTCAATGGTCCTGTGCAGCGGATAAGTGGCAGCGTGGATAAATCTAGGATTGCAATATGCCACAGCAACACATTAAAGTCGAACACAGCTGGTCAACTGCGATAGAAAATCATGTATTCCGCGCAGCCCTTGAATTTCACTCCGACTGACAGTGGTTCCGACAGCTGTGGACGCGTTGAGAAGACTTGAGAGTGCTTGTCTGAGTCAGGAAGCTTGAGCTTCAGAGGCTTCCATATCTGGAAGGAGCCATGGAATGCACGTGCACGCGCGGAGCCGATCTGGTGGCAGGACACTTTTCTTCCTCCAGCTCTCCCAGTTGCGTCCCTCCTATCTTTTCAACCCACCACCTCACTCCGCATCCAAATTCTAGCCGCGCACGCGCACAAACCCCCGTTCCACCTAACAAACCCTTCCCAATGGCAAAGTCAACCCGCTCAAAGGTCAAGCGCCATTTCCGCGCAAAGAAGCGCACAGAAGGCGTATACGCAGCTGCGGAGGCAGCACGCCTCAACCGCCTCCACCAAAAGCTCAAGGTCCTCGCCACGCACGACAGGGACGGAGACGTCGATATCCCAGAGGAGGTCGTCGAGTCGTTCAGCGACGAGGAGCGCGCGCAGCAGCCAGGTTGGTACTGGTTTGCGACTCTCGGTCTTCTTGACCCCGCAGATGTCACCGCCGAGGGCATGCAGGCGATGGAGCGTCTCGCGCGGCGCACAGCGCCTGCCATCGCGAGCGGAAGCAGCGCGCTGAAGCAGCAGGTCCGGCGAGGCAGCTTTTCGAGCCCGAGCCCGAGCGACGACGAAGAGGACGGCAGCCGGCTGTTCAGCCATCTTTTCCCTTGAGCCCTTCTGTTCTTGAAGCTGGTGAGAGGGGTGGTGGCTGACGCCCTGGCTCTTTGACAGATGGGCAAACGACGAACGACAGCTCGGCTGAGGGTGCAGGTCTGTATGCTCCGCCTCTGCTCATCTACCCTGTCTCACCGCGTATTCCTCTTACGCAATGTCCCACCGGTCTACTCCCTTCCACCTCATCCTCCCTCATCTATTCCAACTATCCGACTGCTCCATCCAATGCACCGTCACGCATCGTCTCCGTGCAAATCCAGACGCTATGGCCGTCGACTCTAGCTCCGCAGGTCCTTCCACTGAGGGCACAAACCGGATATCTACGCACGGCCCACGAGGGTCACGCCGCGAACAATGGCGGCTATCCAAGGGCATGCCCGCCCGCCCGCAATCGAAGGGGATGAACAAACAGGGCGGCATCGCCGCCAGGAGGAAGTCGGGGCGGTCGCATCGGCGACGGTGATGTGTGTGAGATATAGCTGTATTCATGTTGGTAGTGTAGCACTGTCTTCCTCTTTTATCTGTTGTTCGCGGTCTTGGGGACTTTCTGGTCAAATCACAATGGATGCATCTGCACAATTCGCACCGGAAGCAAGCCGTCGAGGTGGTCTCTCGGTGATATAACAGGATTGGATCGTACTCCAGAGCACTGCGTATTGTACGCGTATAGTATTGCGACAGTGAGGGGGGTATTTGACCAGCAGTATTGGCACACTTCTCTGATAAAGCACGATTATAGATGGGAGTCCCGGTTAGACTACTCACGAATTCACGAAGGGGCTTCCCCCGACCCCTACACCACCACCCACCACCCCGCCCCCTGTCCTCCGCCGCAGCATTCTAGATCGAGAACTTTTCCGAATGTCTTGGGTGACCGGGGCTCAGCGCTCAGACGGCATGGGCGGTGGGGAAGCCCGCCGCCTTGTCGTCCTCCACGGACAGCCTGTCGAGGTCGAACGTGTCCGAGCGCTCGAACTTGACCCGCGTGCTGTCGCTCGCGGGCGAGATCGGCGAGATCGGCTTCATCCTGCACCGAACAAAATGTGCAGCGCACACCCAATCAGCCATCCCTTCGTAACAGACAAGTCCACGACAGGGAAGGAAAGAGGAGGGGAAGGGGAAGGGCACGCACCCGTAGTCGTCCACGACGAACTGGTCCGTCGTGACGTGCACCTCCGGGCGCGCGAACTGGAGCTCGCCGCGGCGCGAGGTGAAGCGGCGCGCGACGCGCGGGGGCGCCCCCGCGCCGTGGGGCTGGCTCCCGCCGCCCGAGACGACCTGCGACGCGCTGTGCACGTACACGTCTGGCCGCGCAAAGTCGAGCAGCCGGATGACGGCGCGGCAGGCGGCGATGACGGAGAACGTGGCGGCGGGCACCTGTGTGGGGTTAGCTCGTGAGCGGGACACGGAGGAGGGGGGAGGGGGAGGGGAGAGGGGGTACGTACGGTGGCGACGCTGTTTGTGGGAGTGCGGGAGCGGGGCGGATAGGGTGAATAATCTGATGTGTTCGGTTAAGAGGGAGGACGTACACGTCCATTGCGACTGAAGATAAGGTTGAACGTCAGCGCGGCTCGGGGTAAAACAAGGGTGCCGACGCACCATTTAAGTTGA